TCAATTTTTCCAAAACCAAACTAAACCATTCTTTGAAAACGTATAACAGACTGACTGCCAGGTCTGAACTGATCTTTTAAAAAGAGGAAGCATCTTTCTGCTTTGTCATTAACACTGGGCCCTTCCAGTTTCTTGAATTTGTGAATAAGTTAAGCTTAAGGACAGAAAATATAAACCTTATGTGAGATGTGTTGTTTGTGCCTGTTTTCCACTTAGAGCAGTGTTTCTCAACCTTGGCAACTTTGAAGATGTGTGGACTTCAGCTCCCAGAATTCCCCAGCCAATTTCTGGCTGGGGAATTCTGGGAGTTGAAGTCCACACATCTTCAAAGTTGCCAAGGTTGAGAAACACTGACTTAGATCTATCTGTTGTGCAAATTCTTTCCTTTAAAATAACATTTAAAATAATATTATATCAAGACGGTTTTTTCCTGTCCCCGTTTTACAGGATGATGAAGCATCTGTATTTAACACCAAGTTTAGTGACTACAACTAAATTCTACTCTTTTTTTTTTTTAGCAAAAATGATGTAAATCGTGGTCATGTGATATTGGGATGTGGCAGAGAGCTTCAAATATGGGCTGGCTGCTGATGGCCCAAAATGAGATCTCATTCTTTAATATACAGGTGGTTTACAACAGTTCATTTAGTGACTGTTCAAAGTTACAACCACACTGAAAAAAAGTGACTTAACCATTTTTCACACTTATAATCATTATAGCCTCCCCATGGCCACATGATCAAAATTTAGATGCTTAGCAACTAACTGGTTGATGTTTTCAATGTCCTGGTTTGATGTGATTATTTTTTGCAACCTTTTGACAAGCAAGGAAAATGGGGAAGTCAGATTCACTTAACAGCCTTGTTACTAATTTACAAACTCTAGTGATTCACTTAACAACTGTGGCAAGAAAGGCCATAAAATGGGGCAAAGCTCATTTAAAAAACGTGTCACTTAACACCAGAAATTTTGGGCTCCTTTGTGGTCATAAGTCAAGGACTACCTCTATTTGTCACAACTGTCAAGTGCAGGAAATCAGGAGTCCAAGCATTTCAAATGAATATATAGGTTTATTGTATACTAAAGCTCTCTATGACTACTAACTATCAAAGAGAGTTGGCAGTAGATAAAATTCAATGGAATTCAAGATGGGCTGGACTTAGATCGCTTGTGGGCAGGAAAGGATTTAAGACTGGTGACACATTTGACCCCTCCTTTGCTCTCAAGCCTTCTCATCTCCTACAACAGCATTGCTCAACCAATGCTGTTCCATGCAGAACAATAATTCAGTGGTGAAATATAAAATTTGTTACTACCGGTTCTGTGGGCGTGGCTTGGTGTGTGTGTGTGTGGGGGGGTAATGTGAATAGGTGGGCATGGCCAATTTTTTTTTTTTTACTTTTAAAACCTTCACCTTCACCTTCAGTGAAGAGGTTGTAGAAAAAATGCTTTTAAAAGTAAAAAAAAAAAAAAAGCCTCTGATGATTGTGCGGCTCAGCTGGGCATGGGGGGAGCAGGGATTTTTGCTACTGGTTCTCCGAACCACTTGCTCCATCGCTACAGGATCGGGCGATCCAGTCCGAACTGGAAGCATTTCACCCCTGCAATAATTCATTTTGATGCGTAAAATAACACTGTTTTTTTTATAAGGATTTCTCGTTTCAGGAGAGATATAAAGTAGAGGAAAACTGCCACATTGCCACAAGATTGCTCATTTGAAAAATCTGCTAAATGGTCCAGATTGTTCTTGCACTTTCCTTCCAGTTCCCCCCATGCCCCCACATTTTATGGAATGGAAATTTAGATTTCTGTCAGGTCTAACTCAGGCAGTAGAAAGAAGTGCAAAGATAACAACACCCAGAACTTGGTTTCAACAATCAATGCTAAATAATAAAAAATTAAAAGGAAGAAGCACTTCTGTCAATAGTGCCCCTGTAACAAAGGGAATACTCATTTTATATTGATTAGCTCTTGTTAAATAATGTATTCCTTCTTCACAAGTGAGGAGACTTTTGCCCAGTTGTTTATTGCAAGTCAGCCCAAATCAGAATGGCTCTAAGTAGGCAGGGAAATCAATACCATAGCTGTAAATATGCTTGCAAATCCAATCCTGTTGCTTACCATCAAGTGGATTGCAGCTCCATTAAGCTAGGAGAGTGTGAAATTCAGTAGCTTGCTACATTCTTCAGCGCCTTTCCGGAAAACAAAAACAATCTTGAGATGTTAAATTGTAACTCGCTGAAATAATGACTCCCCTGGTATATTTCCTATTTTGGGGCTCTTTTCAGAAGGCAGAGGACATTAGCAGAAACATCCACTTGAGAAATACCAGTCTAGTCCAGACAAAATGCACACCCACAAGTACTACTATGTTTCTCCGAAAATATGACCTATTCAAAAAGTAAGATCTAGCCCAATTTTTTGAGGGGATAGGCGTAATATAAGCCCTATCCCCAAAATAAGTCCTATTGAAGTGAGTGGGTGTGGCCAGCACAGGAGGCAGCCCATCCCTTTCCTGGTCACTTCAGGGCTGCTCGGTCCTTTAATCGGGGCCTGCGGATCAGTTGAACTTCTCTGGCTGCTGCTTCCAGTAAGTGTGACCACTTTTCCAGCCAATTGCGGCCGCAAAAGAAGCTGGAGGCCAAGTGATGCACCCCACAGGCCTTGCACCCTCCTTACCTAATGGTGACAGTCACAGCAGGCAATTCTGTCCATGGAACAGTTGCTTCATGAATGCTGCTCCAGCCTCTGCCTCCAGCAAGCGTGGCTGCTTTTGCCATTGATTGCGGCCACAAAAGCAGCAGGAGGCCAAGCAATGCATCCCATGCACCTTGCGCTGGCCTTCTGCAGGGTAATGTAGCAGCAGCTATCCACAATTTTTTTTCCATTATTTCATCCCGATTCATGTGGCCCAGTACAGTGTTAAAAATTAACATTCACAAATGTTACCGTAGCTGCGGACATCTCCTTGTGCAATGCTCTGCCACCGCAGCTTCGGAGCAAACCTCTGCCTTCCCTGCACAGGATTGTAAAATGGAGGCTACGAAGCCATGGAGGAAGTGTTTTTGGATTTGTATCTATGCAGGGCTCCTCTTTGAAAAGATGATCTGTAGGTGCGGGGAGGAGGATTTTCCTGCACATCATCCTTTCCAACGCAGCTACGGTAACATTTCTTAAATGTTAACTTTTAACATCGTACTGGGCCATGTGGCCTCCTTAATCCACAGCTGCTGGCTCCCTTGCTTTGTTCCCCCTCCGGAGACTCCATTTCCGAGGAAAGAAGAGCGCTGGGGAGGCACTGGATTTTCCCCCTGCCCTGGCTCCTCTCAGCCTAAACTTTGCTCCTGAAAGCCTGCGGGCCACTTCTTTAGTTGAGCTTCTCCATAGCTTGGTTCTTGGAGAGACTGTTGGAGAACTGAAGGTGATATGAGGGCAAAGGGCGAGGTGAAGCTGATCACTTCCTCTTTGCCTTCTCTCCCAAAAGCACTCCTTGGGTGCAGCCACTTCTGCAACAAGAGACACGCCCCATGTGCCTCGCATTTCGTGCTGGCCTTCCGAAGGGTACTCTAGCAGCAGCTATCCACAATTTTTTTACCGTTATTTCATCCTGACCCAGATGGTCCAGTACGGTGTTAAAAATTAACATTTCAGAAATGTTACTGTAGCTGTGGAAGAAAGGACGATGTCTCCCCCGTTATCTTTACAGTCCAAGAAATGTCCTCATATCTTCTGTAGGTTCATCTGTCTGTTATCTGACTGTTACCTAATCAGAATTCTTTCTTCTATCCCACGAGTTCATTCCCACATAAAAGTTGTAGTGATTCAGTGGCTTAATGATGCTGGAGAAGGTCTGTACTCCAGTGGTTCAAGGCCTAGTATTGCCTGATGGAATGAGTTCCCGTCACTTGCCTCAGCTTCCGCCCACCCAGCAGTTCAAAAGCATATTACATGCAAGTAAATAAATAGGTACCAGTTCAGTAGGAAAAATGGAGCTTTAAGTGGCAGTATGAATTCAACTGGTGTCGGACTTGTCCGAATGCAACTCCTGAATGTTAGGTAACATTGGTGGTTGGAAAAGCCCAATATGATTTTTTTTTCCATACTGGGCTTTTCCAACCACCAATGTTACCTAACATACACAACGTACATTAAGCACTACGGAATGTAATTAATAGAAAATTAATAAAATTTATTAAAAAAAAAAAAAAGGAAAGTCCAGCCAGTATGATGTTGCAGAACGCTATCAAGTCTTATGAGAGTGTGGATGTCCTTGTAGTGCATTCTGGATAGCACACAAACATGAACAGAATGGACGGGCAATTGTTAGCAGCCAAACAACTATTATAGTCTCTTGGCTAATGTAACATTGCCATATGCTATATAAATAAGTTTCCATGTACTATTACAGAATGGGAAGGTGGTTAAAAGAAAAAGTGAAAATGACAGTTGTGTGATTAAAGCTCTGCCCCTTTTATGAGCAGGATTTTGATTGCATGGTTTCTGCCATCATCTTGATTAACTCTTAAAGACAATTCTGGAGTTTAGGTATCCATGTCTAGATTTGAAGTGGATAGCTAAATTCCAGGAATCTTCTCTGATGTACTGAAACTGGACGGATCCTTTCAGTACATCTTCTATTTCAGCGGCCCCCAAACTTTTGGGCAATAGGGACCAATTCCATGGAGAGAGGTTTTTCTGCAGACTGGTGTGTGTGTGTGTGGTTTCGTATGTTGCCTGCAACCCATGGACGGGGCTTCGCTTATTTGTGTGGACTGGTTTCTGGCATGCCATGGCCCAGTGTTGGTCCAGAGACCAGGGGTTGGGGACTCCTGTTCCACCCCACAAAAAAAGCTATAGAATATTCACATTGCAAAACTGTTCTTCTTCAGAACAAGAGCAAACAAGAGCATGTTATTCTGAACAATAACCCACTCTTCTTTTTAGATTAATTGGTCTGCAAGGAAGTCCTGCCTGAATATCACAAATTGCCTTTTCCTTACTTCGGTAAGTGGATCCCAGCAGATCTTTCTTGAAAGATCAGATTTCTTTTTCCTTTTGATTGTATAAAATCTTCCAAAAACTAGGAGTGAGCCAAGGGTGGAAATAAGTTGATTTCTTCTTCTTTTAAACTAAATTGAAGTGAAATACAGATAATATGATTACCCTTCAGTGGAGAATTTAATCCTTTTCCCTCCTGTCACATGAAATATTTTCATGTAGTAATGCATTCCGGGGCCTACATTGCACTGCAGAACTAAGCATGGAGTTCTGAGCCCTAACACTCCTCAGCATTTCTGAAGCATTTCATTATTCATAAAGGAGTCGCAAGCTTTAGTCTGATTGTACAATGTTTTATTCACATCCATCAGGACTGTTTCTTTGCAAATTGGGGTGGGGGGGAGTAGTGAGAAATGACTTTCTCTTTTGCCTTTTGGAGAACTGGAGTCTTTCTGCCTAATTATATAACTTGCAGTGTTTTGAAACATTCCAGCAATTGGTAGAGATGACTAAGTCATTATTTTTAAATGATTGTTTTCTGTTACTGATCTCTGTCTCTTTTCTCCCTGTTCCTTTTCCCTTCTTCTCTTTTGAGTCTTGATAGGTTTCCCAAGAAACACAAAGAATTTCCATCGTGCAACTGGAAAGTCAGTTTGCAGAGCGCAGGGCTATCAGGGCTGTGAGAACCAGTTTGGTGTACTGGTTAAAGTATCAGGCTAGAAACTGGGAGATTGTGAGTTCTAGTCCCATTTTAGGTACAAAGCCAGCTGGGTGCATTGGGCCAGTCACTTTCTCTCTGCCCTAGGAAGGGGACAATGGCAAACCACTCTAGGAAACCTTGCCAAGAAAACTGCAGGGACTTGAAAATAATAATACTAAAAAATCAGGGCTGCACTCCAAACATCCAGACAACCACAAAGGGGAAATGAAAAGTTAGAGTATCTCATTGCTGCAACCTAGTGGAGATTGAGATTTTGGCAGCCCAGATCTGGGAATCGTAACCAAGCATTTGTGGTTTGGCTATGCTGGATTCTCGGCAGAGATTGCTTCCTCTAGAATCTGGCCTCATCTTTCCAAATGTATGGGTTGCAGAAACATAATTCCACTCTCTTAAATCTCCAGAACAAATAAACAAACCGTTGTACAGGACTGCAGACTAGCGATTGGCTTGCCTTCTTGTTCAAGTTGACTCTGTGTTTTTATGTCCTATTTCTTCGGACAAGTAGTTGAGTGACACATCTTCTTTGGCCTGGCTGAACTTATTAATCATCATTTGGTTCTTATTTTGATAGATAAATCTACAGCCCAGCCCTAATCCAATCCTCCCAGTCATTCTACTCAGCATTCTCTGTTTTAAAAGAGATTAGTAGAGATTAGTACATTCATAGACAATTAAGACATTCATAATAAATATGTTTGTATGGATCAGCTTGACTTATCCCAATACAGCACCACAAATACAGCACCACAAATACAACACCACAAAAGAAACCAGGAAAGCTTTTTTTTTTATGTCCTGTGGATAACTGAAAACTATGTCAAGTCAAAATAACAATTTCAGACACCTTCCATCTATTTCCAGCAATGGAAGGATATTGGTTTCAGCAGACTGCTGGGATGGCTTGAATACATCTCAGCTTTGGTATGGCAGGCGTGTTTATGATAGCATTATCAGCTAGGCTTTTCCCGATATCACTGACCAGTAAGCGGATGCAAAGCTAAGCTTTCAGGCTCCAAGTTCCACAGTTGATAAATGACTTTGCTATTTGATTTCTAAACACAGTTGCTGCCATGCTGGAGAAATTCCTCCTTTCAAAGAGGTGACAGTACTGGCAGTGTAATCTTGTCTAAACAAGGTTACGGTTTGGAGTATTTCATCTACTGACATCATAGGGCACCTTCCCCACACCTCTGTTTGGCCCCATCATTATAGTGATAAATGTTGGTAGGATGGATAAGTTGAAGGAAAGTAGGAATGTGTTTTGCAAACATGAAAAGGTGATCTATCATTTTTCTTAAAAAAAATAATAATAGGTGGAAATGAATAGGAATATTCTTATTCTTAAACTATGAAGTATTTACCTTAGGACTTAAGGGTATGGCTTCTAAGAAAACCAGAGAATTAGAACTATGGAGTTTCAAACATGTTTTTTCTCCAAAAGGCGACTGGACCTCCAATTCCTCCTCCTCTCCTCCTCCTCCTCCTCCTCCTCCTCCTCCTCCTCCTCCTCCTCTTCCTCCTCCTTCTGCCTCCCTTCTTTCTTTGAAAACATTTCACTTCTTATCCAAGAGTCTATGGAAATTCTCAGTCATCCATGTCATGGTTGTTCCTAAGGTGCTTTTTCAAGAGGCAACTGGACTTTCTGGAATTCCAGAAAATCCAGTTGCCTCTTGAAAAAGCGTCTTTGGGACTTTTTTTCCAAGAGGTTTCTTGGATGAGAAGTGAAACATTTGAAAGGAAAACAAACAAATACACAATAAATTCCATTTGCCTTTTAGAAAAAGCACGTTTGAACAACCATGACCTAGATGATTGAGAATCTACATAGACCTAGAGCTATGGAGTATCGCTCTGAAAAATAGTGGGAAATTATAATAGTTGACAACTTGGTATCTCAGAGTTGGTCAGCATTCATCAGAATGTTTTTTCCTAAGATGTCCAATAGGGTTTGTATTGAGGTAATCAACTTTCACATAGGATGTACTTAGTTCAGAGCAGTATCCATGCTTTGAATGGGGAGCATTAAACTTAATACATGTCATTTACATGGCAGGGTTGCTGGAAATCCATGAGAATCTGTAGCAATCAGAATAAACTATACTTGGTGACAGGATCTATAATCTACCCTGGAATAGAATAGGTTCATATATTTCTCTGGTATAGAAGGTTGTCCAGTGTAAGTCAAGAATCTTCATAACTGTATTCTGCCTTCAACGTTAATCAATGTACATGGCTATTTCAATGGAATAGACTGATTTAACTGATGTATTCAAAAGAAATATGATAAAACTTTATTGTTTGGGATGAGGAACTATAGTAGTCCTCGATTTACAACCACAATTGAGCCCAAAATTCCCATTACTAAGCGAGACAGTCATTAAGTGAATTTTGCCCCATTATACGATCTTTCTCACCACAGCTGTTAAGTCAGGGGTGAAATTTACTTACCTTTCTTACCGGTTCAGAAGTGCACACGCCGCCCGCACATCACATGTGTGTGCAGACCCTCTGCGCATGTACAGATGGTTAAAAAACACATTACTTCCTGGTTAAAACCAGGAAGTAACAACACCTGAGCAGGTGGGCGGAGCCTCGCGTTGCTATCACTACCGGTTCTCCAAACCACCTGCCACAATTGCTACCGGATTGCCCAATCCGGTCTAAACCGAGAGGATTCCACCCCTGTGTTAAGTGAATTACCACAGTTGGATAAGTTAGTAACAAGATGATAAAGTGAACCTGGCTTCCCCAATGACTTTTCTTGTCAGAAGGTCACAAATGGGGACCCCGTGACACTGCAGTTGTCATAAATAAGAGTCAGTTGCCAAGTGCCTAAGTCACAGGATTTTGCAATGACCATAATTGTGAAAAGCAGGCACAAGTCACTTTTTTCATTGCCGTTGTAACTTTGAACGGTCACTGAATGAACTGTTGTAAGTCGAGGATTACCTGTACTTTTTTAAATACATAACTTTCATTAAAGATTTTCCACAGAATAAAAATAATACAAATTTTAACTTAAAGATACATAAATAGAAAAAGAAATAAAGAAAAAGAAATAGAAAAGAAGAAAAAAGGAAGTAAGGAAAGAATAATAAAAAACTGGCTTCTGATTTTCTTAACAGCAATTATAAGTATGTTTATATTTTATCTCTCTCTCTCTCAAGTTCCATAGAAGTTTCCTTCTTTTCCTAGTTTACCCTTTATAATTGTCAAATCCACAAACCTTTGGTTCCTGGTTTTTTTTTTGCAAAAAGTCCTTAAGGGATTCCCAATCCCTAATTAATGTAGTGGTTGATTTTTCTCTACGCAAATGGAGATGTGGAAATACTGATTAAGAAGTATCTCTGCACATCCACACACTGAACATTTTGGCTTCTAATAATTTCTCAGGGTTTTTTTTTTAGGGAGGAGGGCGTTATGTGGAGCTCTCAAATTAAGATTTCCTAGCAGATGATGCCGTCACCTTCTTGCTACTTGTCTAGCTGCCATTGTCAGCCTATTTCTCTTGGGAAATGAAGCAGATGCAAAGGATGGTTGACAGTTTCCCAGCAGAAGTGAACTGTTCTCTTGACAAGGCTCTGCCTCTGTCAAATAAATATGGACATGTGAAAGTTGAAAGTATCTGGCATGTAAATAATAGGCAATTGCAAAATTTCATTGCCTTTCACTCAGCAAGTAAAAGAATGCCGTTCTTTCTTTTGGGGACAGTTTGTAAAGTGCAATTAAGATTAAACCCAGAACATGATTGATTTAACACGATTGCCCAAAGTAACGGGATTCCATGCTATTGCAAAAAGGAATTGTCTTATGAGGAAGACTTAATTATCAATATTCACTAAGTATTGGCGATGCTTTATTTAAAGGTAGGATTCAGTAATTGCTGATATAAATATGTATGTACAGATGTATGCATGCATGTAATCTACAGGAACATCAGAGGGAAAACATTGTGTTGTGGAGTTATCTGAATTTCAAAAGGAAATTCAGGGTCAGCACTATAGTGTATACATAACATATTGCATATTCATTAATCAGCTTTTGGGAACGTATGCGTTTTATCACCCAGCCATTCAATTTATCCTTGTAATCTGGCATGAAAACAAAAGCTAAAAGATAAGAAACTAAAACAGACACTCGGTCATAATGAGTTCACCACCTTAACATTGAATATTGCCCACAGTTTAAACACTGATTTTTTTTTATCATTTATTAAATATTTTAAAACACATGATACTTTTTCAAGATTAGTTTACATCAGGAAGATAACTCCATTCTGGGGCTGGGAGCTAAAATTTGCCTTGGGCTGTCAGGTCTTGGGCCACGTTCTTCAGAGGTAAAACAAGAAGTAAATTTGATTTAATTAGCACCATATTCAGCACATATAATTAATATGATTGTATGCTGCTGAATCTTTGTCCTTCTTTCTCACTGCCAATTTTCAATTTTGGTAAATCTTTAGTAGGGCTCTCAACCATTTGGTAAATGTCAACTTTGAGAAACCATGATCTATGAGCAAAGTAAGAGTTCTATCACTAAATTTTACTGTCTTCTGTTTGCATACAAATTCCTTAATCTGTATGCAAACAGAGTTTATTATAGAATTTCCCTCAGCACAAACTATTGAAACTTTCTAGAATATGCATTTTAAAGTACATCTACCTTTATTATATCTGTAGATAAACAGAATATATACAGATGCTATGTGAACATTTGATCTGAAGATTTGACTAGAAGATGGCTCAATCAGGTAATGAAATTAAATCTTCGAATTGAATTTCTGAATTGATTTGATTTATTCTGCCAGAGATCCTTCAATTCAACCAACAGGTTCATTTATTTATTTTTTTAAAAATGTCTTTGCCACCCAATGTAAACATAACAATGACAAGAGAAAATCTCTATAAAATGTTTTATAGGTGGCACTTGCCACCAGCCAGATTGGCAAGAATGTTCCCCGGCATGCCATCAACATGTTGGAAATGCAACCACCACAAAGGCACCTATTACCATATGTGGTGGACCTGCCCAATGGCGAAACAATATTGGCAAAGGATCAAAATACAAATAGAGGAAATAACACACCAAAAGATAGAACTAAGACCAGAAAGCTTCTTATTAGGCATAGTGAATGGATACTATGAAAAAGAAATAACCTATTTAATTATACATATGATAACAGCAGCACGAATACTATACGCGCAACACTGGAAGAGTAGTGATATACCAACACCAGATAAAGTAATCAATAAAATTATGGAATGTGCGGAATTAGATAGACTCACAAAGGAATTACAAAATAGGGAAACTTTACTTAGTATGGGAAAAGTGGTATAGTTGGTTGAAAGATAGGAAAGAGATGAAGCAATAGGAAGTAAATAAAATGACCAAATATAATATGATGGAAACAAAGAACAGACATAGGTTAACAAAGATCAATATTAGATAGATAAAAGGGAATGACCAAATAAGGAAGAGTCAAAATACAAAGAAATGTATATTATAGTTGCGACAAACTGGACATGTATTGAAATGGATGTTTATATGTTTTTATGTTTTATACGTTTCATTGTTCTGTTTAGTTTATACTTATAAATAATATATATATATATATATATATATATATATATATATATATATATATAAAAAAAATAATGACAAGAGAAATGACAAAAATAAACGATGGAAGTACAACAACATGACATTAAAGAAGATAGTTGAAGAGGGAGCAGAAAGCAGGAGGTTAGAATGGCCAGCTAATTAGTCCAGTAGGCCTTCCAGTAATGTTTTCCAATATTGAAGGGGTGTCAAACTCGAGGCCCACAGGCCAGATCCGGCCCATGGGATGCTTAGATCTGACCCGTGAAACCCTGGAAACAGTCAAGGACTGGCCTACGGTGCCTCTGCCAACAAAAATGGAGCTCACGGCCATCTGCAACCCTATGCCAGTGGAACTTGGGGAGGCTGTGCACGGCCTGCCTGGGCTTCATTTTCAGCCGCAATGGCCTCCTGCAGCACTCTGCCTGCTAAGACATGCACAGCTTCTCCAAGTTCCATTTCCCTTGGCAGAGGGTTGCAGGAGACTGTCACAACCGAAAACGGAGTCCATGTGGACCATTGCATCCAAAAATGGAGACATGTCCACTCTGGCCATGTTCGCCAGCCCGCAAGGTCAAACACAACCCTGATGCAGCCCTCAATGAAATCAAGTTTGACACCCCTGCCATATTGGGTCCCCAGACTAATCAGCAGAGCCAGACCTTCAGACCCTTGTGGAAGGATAGGAGGATGGGGACAAACCATGTTGAATCATGTTGTCTTGCCTCATCTCACCTCTCTTCAGCTCATCGAATCAAATCAATTATTTGAATTGGCTCTTGAATGACACACACATACACATGCATGTTTTCTCCCAGATCTAAGGATCCTTATAGATTCCATGCTTTTCTGCTCATTTTGCCTTGATAAAGTCTATCAGTAATCTAAGAGAAAGTTCTTGTGGGGTTATTTTGCCCTCTCATCACTTATTCCTAAGAACAACCCAATTATGAGAGCTTTAGTAACATTGAACATCAGAACATGGGTGGACACAGAAGTATTCCAAGGTTGATAAAGGTCCTTGCAATATTCCTCAACAATCTGTAAAAGTGATGCTTAGTAGATATGAATTGTTTTGCTTTGTTCTTAAAATATGCAACCAAGAAATAAGAAGACAATGCTGGCTGGGTGTTATGGGAGCTGTAGTCCCAAGTTGGGGAAAGCTGGTTTACTCTTTGCATGACCTTTCTCCTATCTCTCCTCCTATCTACTTTTCTATTTGGGCTTCTATATTTAAGGCAGATGCTGTAATGACTTTCCATAAGCTGTTTTGTCAGAAATGCCACAACAAATTCTATGGAGAGGAGGAATCCTTCTTTTGCATTTTTCTATTATGATTCCAAGAATCCCTTGATTAGCCTTTCTGTGGTAACTGTGAATTACCAACATGAGGCATATTTGATCCCTTCCAACTTTGCTGTCAGAATCTGTATTTAAAGCTGTCATGCCTTTATATTTGCTCTTTCCACCATGGAATACCCCAAATGCCATATCCAGAATTTAAAATGGCTAATTATTTTAATGCTAAAAGCATAGAATGTCCCCAGCTTACTCATTAAAGAGTCTTCACCTCCACCTGGTTTTGATAAAGTCAGTATTTCTCTCAGAAGTGTACAATAAACAACACATTTATAGTGAGTTCAGTTGTTAATGCCACCCACTGCTGTTATTAAATATCTTTGACGTTTGTAGTCTGGCATTTATTTAAATATCAGTATAAGCCTGACAGCTTTGCTTAATTGCATATTGATAAATAACTGAAGTACAAAACAATAACAACTCTGCACTGCTCATCATTAATACAGAAATCAGATTTAAACCAAGCAGGTTTCAAGTGTAAGATTTTCTTTAAAAATCTTGTTTAAATACAGTAAAAAATCCCAACATTCATGTAACCCAGCTGAATAATTTATTATTTAACAGCTAAAATAAATTTCCATATCTTCTCTAATGTCTTTCATTCTTAGATT